GGATAAGCAACAGGCTATACAGGCTTGCGTCCAATGGAAAAATCCAATGGAATGTGCAGAAGAGGGGCCGTGGCCAAGGGCAGCTCAGCCAATGGGAAACGCGTGAAATAAGCAACGGGGAAATTCCTTTGACACGTTTTGCTTTCTTTAACTTTGAGAAAGAAAGGAAACGGCACGGGTTAGTTAAAGGAATTTCCTCCCCCTTCTTTTGTGATGTCATATGAAGGAGTGGATGAAAGAAGGCTGGTTAAAAGGAGCCCGGTTGCAGCAGCAGCAGCAGACAGACAAGCAGCGGCAGCAGCAGCACAAGGCAACATGAACTCCAGTGTTCAGAACAGAGAGCTGCTCAGTTGTGATGGGCTGGAGGACAGGGAAGGCATGCTGACTTTGCAGCCGGTCTGGGACTTCATCATAACGCAGGAGGCTTTGCTCAAGTCACCCTTCTTCCCAGTGCTGTTCAACTTTACGCTATACACAGCTTTTTGCCTGCCATTCATCGCTCTGGACTTCTTCAGCACTCGAGTCCCAGCCTTGAGAAAGTACAAAATCCAGCCCCAGAGTTCTCCCACTCTGAGTATGATGGCGCTTTGCATGACTCAAAACGTCTACCACCACCTGGTCTGCATTTTCCCAGTGACTGTCGCTCATTGGTACTGGAGACCAGTGAGTTTGCCTGTGAAAGCTCCTGCCTTGCCGAGGCTCTTGCTGGACATAACGCTCTGCCTGCTGCTCTTTGACTTCCTGTATTTCCTGTGGCATCTGCTCCATCACCGGGTGCCTTGGCTCTACAAGAGCTTCCACAAGGTCCACCACAAGCACATCTCTACATTTGCTCTCACCACCCAGTACGCCAGCATGTGGGAACTGCTTTGGCTGGGATTTTTTGCTGGGATCAGCCCAATGCTGCTGAAGTGTCATCCTTTGACGGAGATGACATTCTTCATTGCCAACATCTGGTTTGCGGTGGAGGATCATTCTGGCTATGACTTGCCGTGGTCGACCCACAGACTGGTCCCATTTGGTCTGTATGGAGGAGCACCACACCACGATCTCCATCACTTGAAGTTCAAATTCAATTATGCCCCATACTTTACCCACTGGGACCGTCTCTTTGGAACGCTTAGCCATGCTGTCGGGGAAAATGACATGTCAGAGAAGCTGGCCAGAAGCTGAGTTCAGCCATCCTCTCCAGTTTAACCATCTGGAAACAAACCCACACCATTGCACTGCACTTATTTATATTAATGTATTTATGGAACAGTTTTTGTGAAGTATGCATAGCCCTATGGTTGTTTGGAATAAGCAATTTTAATGAAGCCATCGGAGAGAGGCTATCACTGTGAGTCCATTTTCTTTTGGCTATCCAAGCTTTTATAAGGCTAATGTGTATGCTCAATGTGTATGTAAGAGAGTTTCTGCTTGCTGAAATGAGAAGATGTGTTGTGAGAGTCAAAATAATGCTTATTATGATTCCTATGGAATATATCTTGGCTTCATATTGGAAATAAAATATGGACACACAAAGAAAAAAAGAAGAAGAAGAATCATCTAACCTGATAACATTTCTGATGACTGTCAATAGATCTAACGGATATGTGATTTGTTATAATTTGTTCAGTCAGAATTATTTATGTTTTATTATTTTATACTGGTAAAATAAATATTTATATTGTTCCAATTTTCCCCCTTTTGTGTTTATGTTCCACACTATTTTTCAAAAGCAATGGAATAGATTTTTCTAGGTGACCAATTTGACAACCCAATCTTATGCATGCCAACCCAAAAGTGACCTTTATTTATTTCCATTTGACTTACTCCCAAACACGTGTGTCTAGGATTTCAGTCGTAGATCCACACTATACATTTAAAGGATATTCAACACACATTTAAAGCACATGGCTTCCTCCAAATAATCCAGGGAACTGTAGTTTCTGCCTCACAGAATTACCATATCTAGCACACTTAACAAACTACAGCTCCCAGAATTCTTTGAAATAAGTCATATTAAATGTATAGTCTGCATACACAGCAGAAAGAGGTGATACAATTTTCAAGTGGCAAGGTGGACCACACCACTTTAGACTGCATGGGTTCCACATGTGAAAAAGCTTCCTAAAATTAAAACAAAAACACAACCTAGTATAACCAGCCTACTTCTTGCCGTGTTTTTCTTTTACCTGCAGCTTCAGGAGGGCATTAAATCATGTGATATCCACCCTCCCCAGGTAGTCTGAATTTGAAGAGCCCAACTACCCCTTTAAAACCTTATTGTGTCATTCTGCTACAGGTGAAGATCAAGCCTCACAATGTAATCCTATGCATGTTTAATCAGAAGTAAGCTCCCATGAATTTTCAATGGGGCACACTCTTGGATCATTGCATGAAGAAAAAGCATCCTCGGTTTCCTAAACTGTGATTTCTGCCATCCCCTCCAGCTAATCACACTGCATTTAAAGTTCATTCATAGGGATATGGACTACATCAGCGGCAGAATCTGGAAAATATTCTTTTTAGGAAGGGAAAAAACCAGTAAAAGCTCCTTCCTAAATATCCTCCTTCCTAAACATTTGTGCTGGCCTATTTGCATACGATGCTGGTGTACCGCTGTTGCAGTGATGCTTATATAGCTGCTTATAACTTGTCCTAAGCATTGTGGTGCAGCCAAATTAGCATTTTTCTACAGGGACAGTTCCTTTTAAACTTCCAGTATTCCCCCCTCATCTCTCTCTCTCTCTCTCTCTCTCTCTCTCTCTCTCTCTCTCTCTATCATCTATCTATCTATCATCATAATCATCTATCTATCTATCTATCTATCTATCTATATCTATCTATCATCTATCTATCTATCATCATAATCATCTATCTATCTATCTATCTATCTATCTATCTATCTATCTATCATCTATCTATCTATATCTATCTATCATCTATCATCTATCATCTATCTATCTATCTATCTATCATCTATCTCTATCTGAAATAATTCAAAACAGTAAAAGAAAAGGGGGAAAGGAAAGGACCGGCAATAGCAGAACATAACAGAACATAGAAGAAAAATTGATGGAAACTTCCAGTGCAGCAGAATTTCTCAGACATTGGGCTGAGACCCACACATGGGACTTGAGCCACTTTCAGTTGAGTCTCAGTGCCACAGCCTACAAATTGCTTCCTCACTTGCCTGCACCATCCCCGCTAGCCATGTCTTTCGGCTGGACCAGCAAGTGCTTGCATGCTGGTAAAGATGGCTGAGAGACAGAGAAGTTTGGGAGTGGGGTGGAAATGGAAGGATTTAATAATTTCCAAAGACAAATCAGATATCAGTAGAAAATGTCAGTAACTGCCAGCTGTAGTATGGCAATCTCTACCTCCAGAATTCTGTGACTGTTGGGCTCTCAGTCGTTGTCAACCTTTCCAAGTGAGCCCTGGGGGTAGAAAGTCTGAGAGCCCCTGCAGTAGAAGGTTTGGGGAAAGGCATCCTATAGAAATGATTAACAAATATTGTAATTAACTCGGCCCTTCAATTTCTATTTCTACTGAGATATTTGTGGGTGGTGGGTGGTGGGCAGTCTATCTACATACTTATGGGTGGATATGTTTGTATGCCCCTCTTTGCAGTTGTTGTTGTTGTTGTTGTTGTTAAAATTGGTATACCACCCTTCATCCAGCAGTTTTTATTTTGAAACATTAGCCAGAGAGACATGGGTTTGCTGTTTTCATATGAGTTCATGGCTAGCTCTGTGGGGATTTGACCACTGGAATCAATGATCAGAATGCACCACTGAAACCACTTACTACATACCCACCAACATTTTAACCCTCCAATATCTAGGACATGGCTCTGTTCCTGTGTGAGTCATGTGACCCACGCAAGATCACCTAACCTCAAAAACGCATTTTGGGGCAAAATGCATGGGATCACAGCCTCACGCCATATCACGGAGCCCAAAAACACACGTTTTGGGGCTCTGTGATCTCACACGAGGTCATGATCCGGCATATTCTCTCCCACACATTCATTTTTGGGCTCCAAGATCATGCATTTTTGGAGACTCACGGTGCCCAAAAACTGGATGCCCTGATTTTATCAGGCCAGTTGATGGGTATGTTACTACACTGACTCATGCATGGGAAAGTGTCTAATGCATCCGTTCCTCTTCAAGAAAACAAGTCTTTATGTTTTGAAATTCCCAAACATAGGAAGCTGCCTTATACTGAGTCCGACCACAGGCCCATCTTGCTCCATGTTGTATCTAAATTGCGCAGCTGTTGTTCTCCTGGGTATCAGACAAGGGTCTTTCTCACCTTGAGATGCCTGGGACTGAATATATCCTTACTGTACTCAGTGCATCTGTACTGGAGATTATTGGGATTGGATCTGGGACCTTTGATCTCAAAGCATATGCCCTGCCACCGAGCCATAAATCAGATGATGAGACCTTTAGACACACTTCTCATGTTTTAGTACAGCAAGTTTCAGGACTGGCACCATATTGCAGCTATTGGGTGGTTTTTAACTGTTTTAGTGTTCTGGCTCACCCCTGACATGGATGGCACAATTTTCTCCATTTCACTCCAAATGCCTTCCTTAAGTCTGGGTTGGTGTTACCTTCGTGAGTAGCCAAAGCACACCATGTGTGATTATATCCTCTGCATGGACAGCTCTAAAAGGTGCTGCAAAGTTTAGTGGTGGCTGTAAAGTATAACTGGCCTGTAAAATTGCCTGGGTGGAGGCAGCCTTTAAATAAAATAGATGGGACCTGAGTCATTTGCAACATGGGTACAGCACCCATGTGAAAGGTCACACCAGAGCCCTGTTTCCCAATCCTGCAGGCAGAGACCACATTCAGAGTTGTATGAGGCACAGGAGACCTGCACACACAGCTTTCATATTCCCACCCAGCTTGCTCTGCCTAGGCCTTGCAACAGGTAGGTAGCCATGTTGGTCTGCCATAGTCGAAACAAAATAAAAAAAAAATCCTTCCAATAGCACCTTAGAGACCAACTAAGTTTGTTATTGGTGTGAGCTTTCGTGTGCATGCACACTTCTTTGTACCTGAAGAAATGTGCATGCACACGAAAGCTCATACCAATAACAAACTTAGTAGGCCTTGCAAGCTCCTTTTGCCCGAGGCATGAAGAGTGATGACTGGATACAAAGCACTGAAGGGCTAGTTGCACTTTTTTGTATTTGAGTAAAGGTGGAAGGCTAAGAGGGGCAAATAAAAACAGTTTTCATAATTGCAGATGAATTTTGTGGTATAAATAAAGTGTGGCTTAGGGGGAACAGAGTGATGTACATCACTGTTTTGATCTACTGGCTTCTTACACAGACTGCGTTGTCTCACAAGTCTGCCCCTCCCTTGCACTCATCAGCAGAGACCCTTCAACCATCATCAGAGGTCGAATTGGTTGGAGTGAAGGACAGGGCCTAGGCTGGGAAATGCCGTTGGTCCCTCTTTTGGTGTTCTGCCAACATCTTTTTGTTCTGCCACAACTTCGACTTGGTTTACATTCCTCTTCCTCTTCAATGTATGGGTTCTGTTTTTTGTTTTTTTAAAATCTTTTGTTTTGGTCTTTTTTGTTTTATGGATTGCATATTGTTTTAATTGATGGTATACAACTGAAAGGTAGGACATACACTTATACCCCCAACACTTATGAGTACAAATGGACTGTGGAAGTAATTAAGATAGCTATCTACTGATCTTCACAGCTGCTCTGTTGGTGACTTCCTGGATCTATGGAAGACTTCCTGGATCTATGTAAAAGCAAGTTGGATCTTCTTCCACTGCATCATAGGTTTGTGCGTCACACACATACATACCACAGCCATGTGAGGAACAGCTTGCCATGTAGAAGGTTGAAGTCTCCCTTAAAGCAGTGTCTTCTGGTTCAGCATGGAGCAGAGCTGGGGAACCTGTGGCACTCCTGATGCTGCTGGACTACAACTTCCACCATTCCTGATCATTGGCCATGCTGAATGAGGTTGGTGAGGTTAGAGTCCTAAAACATCTGGAGGGTTCCTCCGCCCTGGCACAGAATAAGTGAAGGAGGCACAGCTTTGATGGAAAGCTGACCAATGGGTCTTTCCCCCCCCCCTTTTTTTAAAATGATATTTATTAAAGTTTCAAAAAATACAAAAAATACAGAATACAGAAAGAAAAAGAATAAAGTTTTTTTTAAATATAACCAAAAAAGTAAAAAATAAAAAGAAACATACCAAATAAAACAGTTAAAAAAACATTAATTTTCCATAACCTATCTTCCCTATACTTATTTCCCCGGACCTCCTCATACCTCCCTTTTTTGTATTCCAGTTCAATTTATTAGTTCAGCAAATCCTTACCATTAAAATTACCCAATTGCAAACCTTTTTTCATATCTCTTAAAGCATTACAGCTAAAAACCTCATAGTTTCTATCCAACATCCTTCTAAGATTCCTTAATTTTACAGTATTTCTGTAAATAGTCTTTAAATTTCTTCCAGTCTTCTTTCACCAACTCTTCTCTCTGGTCTCGGATTCTGCCAGTCATTTCCGCCAGTTCACCAATGGGTCTTTCCCTATGCCCAAGCCTCAGATCAAGGGGAAAATGATTTACATTATGAAAATAGGTCAAACCACATAGGCATGGCACTTCCTGTTTGACATGCTTAAACCAGAAGCTGCCAGAGATTTAGTAATAGAATATTCTATTTTTCTTTGTACAGTAACTAGTCATTCACCAAATGTGAACACTTTCCATAAAGCTGGTGGGTATGCCGATGGTTTCGCGTTTTGATTGCTCATGCTGTTGTTGCGAATCTATCCCTACTTTTAACAAATCCAGTTAAGTATCAGAAATAAAAACTCCTGGAGAGTTCACACCATCTATATATAGTTAAAGGCAACATGTTCGATCTTGCTCTGCATCCTTCTTTCCGACAGTTTCGAGACCTGGAGCCTTGAAAATGCTTTGCCTGGTAATGGAAAATTGTTAGAATATTTCATGCAGCTAGTACGGGCTTTGAGCAGGATTAGATTTAGGGACTTAGACCCAGGCTCAGCTGACCTGGGCAAAAAGTTCATATTTACTTTTAGAACTGAGCTGGGTTACCAGGATTTCAATGACATTTTAAAAATGGTTGTTTTTCACAGTGAAAAATACAATACTGCTGTGCATTGAAACACTGTACTTGTGATAATCCTAGCGTTATCATAGTGTTACAAAAGTTGAGTTCACCCCCCACACACACTTTCTGCCAAGTGGTGGTAAGAGCCCCCAGGCATTCACCCGGGGTTTGTGCTTCGTTGGAGAATTGAAGACACGGTGGAGACTGCAGTCTCCAGCTAGCACAGCTGATAGTCATGGAACATGGAAACTGTAGTCCAATAACATCTGCAGGGCTACAAGTTAGGCTGTGTCCAGGTGGTAGGCAGTCATGATGCTAACTCAGCAGTTGTGCATTAAATTAGTACAGTGGTACCTTGGGTTAAGTACTTAATTCGTTCCGGAGGTCTCTTCTTAACCTGAAACTGTTCTTAACCTGAAGCACCACTTTAGCTAATGGGGCCTCCTGCTGCTGCCGTGCCGCCGGAGCCCAATTTCTGTTCTCATCCTGAAGCAAAGTTCTTAACCTGAAGCACTATTTCTGGGTTAGTGGAGTCTGTAACCTGAAGCGTATGTAACCTGAAGCATATGTAACCTGAGGTACCACTGTAATGCAGAAAGCTAACCACCTGGGCACATACAAAACCTGCACATGAAACGTAATGCAAGAAGTAATTTTCTACGTAATTTTAGAACAAATCACTCCTGATCTGCCCATGATCTCAATGGGTGTCTTTTGCCTAAATGCCACCCATTGTAAAGGGCACCAGGAAATCAGAATCTGATTATATGGATCATCACTACTGGAGCTTGTGGTGTATTTGTCTAAGCAATCAGGATGCTCTGCTGAACAACATCTGAGCCACATCAGAGAAAGAGAGAGAGAGAGAGAGAGAGAGAGAGAGAGAGAGAGAGAGAGAAGCAGTTCAAATCCTGTTGGGGGAAAATATAAGAGGGAAGGGGCTCAGTGAGCAGTGACATCAGGCACAGATGGTGGGTGACAACACTTCCTCCAGGTAACAATGGTGATTACATTCGACTTGAGGGAACTCAGCAGGGAAGGGGGAAATATTTCAGCTGCTGCTTTTCTCTGCAAGATTCTTTTAATAGTATGGATGTCCATAAAGGAGGAAATGCAAAATGACAAAGAAGATGAGATGCTAGCTTTTGTGTGTACATCGGTCACAAGTGTCTGATTTTGTAGGTCCATTATAGGAGCATGCCTGAGTGTACAGGGGGGGTCTCAGTTTAGAGCAGTGGAGGCTGGTCCATTTGGGTACATGAGGGCACTGCCCCACCAACCTCAGTCAGCCCTGCCTGCCTGCTTGCCTGCCTGCATACAGACAGCCCAGGACTTGACAACACCTGTCAACTTCCCCTTCGTCCTTAGTTTCAGTGTTGCCCATGTAGAATTCAGCAGTGAGGAGGAGGGTGGCGGCAAAACTAGAATTAGTTGTCTCTGCTTGCTATTGGCTCTGGTTCTTCCTCCTGTTTTCTGCCCTACCAGACACAATGGGCATCAGCCACTAGTTCAGAGTATCTAAATGTATCTGTCTAAAGGCACAAGCAGAACTGTGAATGAGCCCTAACTCCCATCCCTGGCTACCTCTAAGGGCTCCTCCAGATTTCCTTTCGTGCTGCACGTGTCTGAGTGTTTTTTTCCTGGCACTCGTAGAAAATCCAATTGCCATTTGCTCCAATTCAGCAGCAAAGCATAGGGTTTCTCAGGGAAAGCTCTGGGACAAACAACAACAACAACAACCACTGCCCAGAAGTGGAGTTTTAAGGTCCAGGCCTGTGCCTAGAAACATAGCAAAAAAGGAAGTCTGGATGAGCCCTAAATCTTATAGGAAGGTTGAATAAAGTGCAAAAGCAAATGCTCTTGTGATCTACGACTCTCAAAATTTTCTGAAGCCTTTAATTATGAACTCCAGTTATCGCTTGATCTTTTCACCCTAAAGGTTTCTTCTAATAGTGCCTGCTGCTTGCGTTCACTTCCTCATGCCATATAAGGGCTGCAGGAATATTGTAATGTGATCCTGAGGCGGAAAGGTGCAGCTGGCGGGGAGACAAGTCTCTCTAAGCAAAAATGTGGGAGTTTCTACAGAACCAACCAGCAACAAAAGAAAACTTCCTGTGCCGGCATTCATCTTTGAGAAAATTGGCACCCTTTCATATGACCTTTCAAAGACTCAGGAAGGAAGAAGAAGAAATATTGAACACCTAGTTGTATCAAACTAGGACTTGGGAGTTCAATTTCCCACTCTACCATGAAGCTCACTGGGTGACCTTGAGCCACTCTCTATCTCACAGCCTAACCAACCAAAGACGGTTGTTGTGAGGATAAAATGGAGAGCAGGGAGAACCAAGTGTGGCACCTTGAGGTCCTTGGAGGAAAGGGAATGAGCCTCCATCAAGGTAATACATTTTAAAACATAATCATACTACTTTAAACAGGCATGCCTTCCCCCAAAGAACCCTGGGAACTGAAGTTTGTTGACATTGATTGCCAAACCACTCTGCTAATTGTAGATGTGTGAGGGGAATAGAGCTCTCCTAGCATCTCTTACCACTCTTAACAAACTACACTTCCCATGATTCTTCGGGGGAAGTCATGATTGTTCAAAGTGCTCAGAAACTGTGTTAAATGTATAGTGCAGATGTGGCCTGAATTTACATAAAGGAGTCTTTAAGACATATCTTAAATGAGAGAGTGGCCAATGATGATTTCTTAGTTGAACGTTGAGGACTTCCGGGGTGGCGCCATCGGCAATGGCGGATTCCCTCTGAACTGGAGGGACCAGCTCCACGGAATCGGGTCCTTTCCGCTATGGCGAAGCGGGGACCCATTCAAAAATCACAGGCGGATGAAGCCTGTGACCATGGGACTCGGCGGGCACCCTTAGCGCCCCCCCAACCCGCAAAAGAACCCATTAATGGGCTCCGGAGCGAAGAGGGGGAAGTGGCGAGGTGCTGAGAGTCAACTGCTTCTTCCGTGGAGCGAAGCTGCACAGCCG